TATTTCACAACTTTTTGTAGAGAATGAAAATTATTGAAACGAATCTAATTTTTTTGTAAAGTACAAATGTTATTGAGATGAGTTTTATGAACGTCAACTTGGCGCAATTTTTTACAGTGAAACTGTTTTTGTTCAGATATACCTAACCATTCGCATTCGGTGACCTACAATTCTCCTTAAAATTAAAAAAAAAAAAAATTTAATTCAATTGATGCATTTTTTCGCAAGTTATAGTATTTTCAGAGTTTCATACATGACGGACAGGAAAATTTTTTGACCTATTTTGATGTTTTATTTCCGTTTCTAGTGCACTAAATCAATTTTTGAAAATTGTTAAATTAATCTCCATTAAATTATCTTGTCAATAGTATGCAAAATATCTTGATTCCGTCAAATAACAAGACTATAATAATGAAAATAGTTGCCGAAATGAGGCAAAAAAAATTTTTCGATCGTAAAGCACTCTCTGATGCTTCGCATCATGAGTCGTGCAATATTTTAATGTTATATTTTGAAAATTAATTTAGTTATATTATATTGCTCCAAACATTCATTCTCTTGGTTTTAAAATTTTCGGATTCAAATCTTTTTATTTGAGGTTGATAAATATTGTAACTAGATTCAAAAGTATGCAATCTTCAATTGATGTAATTAAATTTTTAGGCTAAGGAATTCTCTACAACTAAAAGTAAGTTTGTGTTTTTTTTTTAAAGTTTTAGATTTTTGTTTTAAAGTATAGTATTTTCTTCGTTCAAAATTTTACCAGTAACAGTTAGAAAATTCAAATCTTCATTAAAAAAAAACAAAGTTTTAGCATCCAAACATCAAAAATATTCAAAATTTTTTCTTAATAATACAGGAAGTTACATTTTGCAATCCTTTGGGCTTAGCAAAATTCTTCAAAAAGTTTAGTATTATTTGCATAAAATATATAGGTATCTGGATTGAAAACAATTAAGTACTTCAGTGAAGAGTAAAATTTTTAAATGGAGAATTTTTCACTCATCTGAAAATAATAATTTATTATTTCCAAAATTAATTTATGGACATAAAAGATATCGGAATATTTCAAAACAGAATTGTAATTTCGAGGAAATTTTTTTAAGCTCTATAATTCGTCATTTATTGTTGAAAATCTTTTTTTTTTCTGTACACGGAAAAGAAAGTGGCTTTAAAATCTCATCAGGTGATCAAAAATTGTATCACCTGTGAACTCAACAGAGGTGAACCTAAATTTACATCACCCGGTGATACAATTTTTGTATCTAATGTATTTTAAATGGAACTAACTTGACTGTTGATATACGTAACCTCAAATCTTTAAATAAATTTTTCAAGACAATATTCTTTTAGCATTGAACATACAAAATCATCGGCCATGTTATTTTCACGTTTTTTTATAACAAATTCTTAATAGATAAAAAAATACATATGACACGAAATATCAACAAGAAATATAACCTACACTGAGAAAAAAAATACTTTTACTTAATTAACAATTTCTTGGTTCAAGAAACTCGCTGACGATCAAATATTCATCGAGATCTGATGAAAATTTGATTTTTGCAAAACGGGGTAAAACCAATAACTTCCCGATTTTTGAAAATCTTAGATTTTTCTTAGAGGAAAGTTAAAAAGTAAATACTAGAAATTCTATTTCTTTTTTTTATTGCAATTTAAAAAATCCCTAAAATTTGTTCCCCTAGGCCAGAATCCTCTTAACTTAAAACTCTAATTAAAAAAAATCATCAAGAAGTTTGAGGTTGAAATGACCCCTGTCGTTCTAACCACAAGAGTTAGGTTTTATTGTAAGACATTTGATACAAACCAGTCGGGCATATCCGTACAATTTGAATGTCAGAATCACGCTAAAGAGGTGAGTGAAGGGAACTGGACTGGGGTTGTTAAAGATGAAGAAAAAGTTTAATAAGGGATAGAAATGAAAATGAGACAAGGTAAATTTAAAACTGTCGTATTTATAAGGCACGGTTCAAGCACTGAGAAGAAAACCGTTGTGAAATAGTAGTCAGTAAAGTTTGTAATATTTTTTAGCTTTCAGATGAGAGAGAAAATTAGAGAGGAGGAATGAGACACTACTGGAGTGATGCTGTGCTGCTTGTAAGAGACAGTTTAATTTTTTTGTCGGTCGTCTTTTTTCACCGTGGAAATTGCTTGGAAAACTGTGGCTATTTTTCAAGACACTTCGAACTTTACTATTAAACAAATTGACGGCAGTTTTGTTTATTTCACCCCATTTTATTTTATTTTCTTTCTGTTGTTACGTTAATTTATTCACTGAACGTAGATTCAAACGTTTAGTTCTTAAAGATTAATTGGATTCATTTAGACTCATTCTGATTAGAATCTGAATGTATTCGTGAACATATATATTCCTGAATCCTGGCAGTGGCTCGTAAAGGTTTGAATTATTTAAAGCTACTCGAATGCTTTTAATGAGGATGGAAAGAAAAGTGTGAAACTACCACTCTTTCATTTTGTTTGCACCGTTCAAATTTATGTTCGATCCCCGCGTAATTAATTATTCCAAGAAAATAGTAATTAATCGTAACTGTTTCGTGGGATAATTTTTTAATGAGCTTCTATAGAATATATTTACTTTTGAGTGAATGAATACATTTATACAGATGTTATTTATTTCTACTTTTCATATTGACTCAACGAAAACATTACTCATGACAAGTACCTGAAAAGTACCTCTTGAATAGTAGTTCAGAAATTACTCTAATAACAGAGTGTTTTACTTACCAGTACGAATAATTATAAGACTAGTGTGGAGTTTTTTGTCAATTTTCAAGCGTGTCTTATAATTGGAATGAATCGTACCGGGTACTTAAATTTTTTTTGTAATATGTATTCAAGAAACGCTCTATTATAATATTCCCTTGAAGGCAGCTTGTACTATTCTCGTTGTTGGAACGCTTCACGTAATAATTATCCGTAACTCCTATTCTTTCCCGATTCACAGCATTATTTATATTTGTTAAAAAATGCTAACCGTAAGATGGACGGTGTGGCTTAAGTGAAAGGAAATTTAGTATAGACCGGATAGCTCAAATAGTAGAGTAGCCGACATGTCTTCGGAAGATTCTGGGTTCGAATCCCAGTCCGAGCAAT